TATATATATATGATGCTTCTGTTTATATATATAAAGATAATGGAAAGTAGTATCACTTAAATAACTTTCAATTCTGTTATTGTTCAGTTAAGATTAAACAAAAATAATAAATATTGTTTTGGATATTTGATTGCTGATGTCTTATGAAAAGCATAAACAACGGATATGCTAATACTTTTTATGAAGCATTAGCTATCATATTACAAAAGCAATAATTTTTTTATTATTCGAACTATTTTTTATGAAAAAAACAATCATATCGAATTTTATATTAAATGTCAATTTTGTGTACAAAATTAATGAGTCGTACAAAATTTATATATCTTCATATCAGAGTATTTTGTTTAAGAGTACATGCTAGTTTAGTAAATTTATGACTCTTTTATCAGAGTGATCAGGTCTGTGAGTGCAGTTATCAGCTTTGTCTTTTAAGTAGCATATATGCTAATTAAGCTAATATGCTAATTAAGTGTTAACTCGTATTTCAACTTTACTAATCTTTACTGTTGTGCCTTCAATATTCATAACTTTTAATAATATTTTTATACACGCAAGATAGTGACATTTTTGTTACTTACACTATAGTTGGATCATTTTTAAGATGAGAAAATACTTGCATATTTGTTTTCAGTGTAATGTATTGAAATTTAAATATCAAAATGCTAAAGAAGAGAGATTAGTACAGTAATTAAGCAAACGTGTGTCTCGTAAATGATTACGTTTAACTCAAATATAAATGATAATGCTTAGGTCATAATCTGATATTTATCCCAATTACTTTAGCTTATATATGAATATTTTTCATACTTATACTTTAGCTTGGATCTCAATATTTACTCTGTATTATTTAGTTTGGCTTTTAGTACTTACTCATACTTGTTTAATTCAAATTTTGAAATTTGCGTTAAATTTTAACATTTACTTTGATTTATCTGTTTATCTCAAATTCAAACAAACATAAATATTTGTAAATAATTAATCATTATTGAAAATATAAAAGCAGAGAAAGGAAGAATATTTGTGTTTGCCTTCGTTACAGTAAAGTAAGTACAAAGAAGTAAGCGGTCACGTGTCACTTACTTCTTCCCCTTCCACGTATAGCATACTTAAGTGATAAATCACAATTTATTTCAGGCAAAGTTAAAATTTGCTGTGAATTTTGCTATTTCTACATTCTCTTTTCTACAGTAACATTAAAAAAGTTTTTCTAAACGTTTTTCTTCTTTTTGAATGCAAAAATATCTCGTAGCTACTCGATAATGCGGAAATATGATGTAATTAATCAATGAATCAAAAATATTCCAGAAATAATCAATAATGCATCTAAATATTTAAGCATCTAAAAATTTTTCGAAGGTTTTCACTAAGAATTATACATCTAAATTAATTTTATGCTTTATTGAATTAATTATACTTAATCATTAAATACTGAATTTTTGGTATTTCATCTACTGAAAATATTTCTGTGTAATCTACGTAATTTATTAAAGCATAAAAAGTTTCAATTGATGCATTCCTGAAGAAATTTTTGATAAACGTCGCATATAAATATATTTGACAACAGTAATAATAGCTATACTAAATATATTATTAAAACAGCAAGGATTTTGTATTCGTTTGTCTTGTACAAAAGCGTGAAAAAGTGGTTGACACGTACAATAAAAATATCAAACAGTTGTCAAATTCGTTAACATTAGCTTTTTACGAGATGAAATTATTTTAGATTTGATTTGATCTAAAAAATACAACCGAATATATCAACGTGTATTTCTTACGTGCTTTAAATTTACGCATACACACATGCATATGTATTTGCAGATGTGAAATGTTCAGTAATATAGACTTTTACTTATGTGAATAAAAGCAATAATTTTTAGTATAATTCCAGTAAAAGTAAAATCTAAATAGATATTTCAATCAAAAATTTGACTGAAAATTTTCAAATAATTCGTCCGCTGTATTTGACCTAATTTTTATATGTTGAAGATCTTCAGAGATTAACCTTTTAACTTTAACTTTTATTACTTTGAAAAGCATATAAACAAATTTGCATGGAAACAAATTGAAAAATATTTCAAGCAAAATGTAATAAATTTGCTATATTATCTACGTTTTGCATAACTAGATAAATATTAAATCAATTAATTAAATTAATTAATTGGAACTAAATTACTCACAACTAATCAGATCACTCTATTATTTTTGCTTAATTTGTTACAAAAATTTGCATAAAATTATATACAAATGCTATAATTTTTACTTTTTATTTCTATAACTTTTATGATCTTTTAAATTTATTAATTAATCAAAATTGTATTAAATAAAAATTTATAATCGATAACAATTTTTTTATTTTGAATAAAATTTATATTTATTAAAAACAATTAAAAGTTGTTAAATTTGATCGCCATTGTATTCGTTGTTTGTGAAATCGAACTGGTAAACGATTAGCATAATCGTTAACTTTGATTGATGCTAATTTTGAGTTAGCATAAGTTCTGTTATAAAGATTATTAGCCCAACAACCAATTACTGAATAATCAAATTCAGGAAGCATTTTGTTCGCAAACAAAGCTCTAGAAGCAGCTATCGTTGGTAAATCTGCAATACCCAATATACAAATTTTATGTCGATAATAATTACTGTTACATTGTTTTGCTGATGTCATCCATATCACATATCTGTAATTATTATTATTAATTATTAAGCATAATATCTGTAAATTATAACTATTTATAATTAAGAATAATAATTATTATTATTATGCGATCTAGTGCCAGAACTAATAAAACGAAAATTAAAACTAACCTCCACATTTTATTTATTTACAATTACTATTACTATTAAACATAAATGAATTCATTTTTTAACTTATTGATAGTTTATTAAAACAGTTCAAATAAAATTATGCTTTGATCACTTCTGATCAAGCAGTCAGTAACTTTTATTAATTTAGCTTTTCACCTGGTAATCATATTATTGTAAGCATCTATACACTTCCTCGTAAATCCACCTGGTGCATCTAAAAATATAATTTTCTGCTAATTAATAACACTTAATTTTTTGTCCATAAAAGTAGTGCACAAAGTGATGAATTTAAATATCTCAAAATTTTCATTTAAAAATTTCTCACCTAGAATCTGTTTGATATAAGGTTGCATTTTTACCTAAAGAATCCTCAGAATGTAATGATGGGAATAGCATTTCATCGCCACCATAACGCAAGCTGTCAAGTTTATCAAGTAAAATTGTTAGATTTAGCTTATCAACGATAAATTGTACAAATGCATAACTTAGTGATATTGACGTGCTACCTTTTGCTAAGCGCAGTATTCGTTCATCATTTTCAATGTTATCTGAAAAATTGATCATATATTTATTGTGTATTTTTTACTATCATTTTAATTTTACAAAAAAAATTTTACAATTTAGTAAGTCTAAAATTCAAAACTTACAAATAAAAAATAAATTAGAAAAATAAAATTAAGCAAAATAAAACCATTGAAAAGTTGAAGTGTACGGAATGTCCACGGAGCATCACTGGGCACACGATCTACATTAGGATATCCAACGTTGATATCGTTGCTACCATTCAAAGCAGTTAAAATTTCAACCATTTCTCGATTTGTTTTCAATGGAATATCATTATTCTAATAATTTTCAAGTACATATCAAATTTAATTAAAAATATTAAGCAAAAAGTTGTCTTAGAAATTAAAAACCTGAAGTAAAATCGCATATTTCCAGTGAGAAAATTGCCTGATTAGTTTTAAGCATTCTAAAAAACTACGTGATGTATTATGACCAGCACTGTCAACAGCATATTCTTGCTGTGTTAAAAACACGTTTGGAAAACAAGCTGACAGATTCTTCATTTGCTCATGAAATAATGGCGTGGATTTGACGTCAAGTGCGTAGCAATATAAGTTTTGTGGTGCGTACATTAAATTAAGCATCAGTTCTTGTAAATGAAAATCCTGAAATTATATATTTAAAATTTAATTTGTTTTGAAATCATAAATTGCAATTAAAAACTTCAACTGAATGCTATAACAATATAGATTAAGAACGTGTTTTAAAAGTTTTGTGATAAATTATTACTTAAATAAAGTAATTATATAAAGTCAACAGAATGAATATAATAAAAATTTAGATTGTTATAGTGGTTAAAATAATTCATTACTTTATAGACAATTCGAATAAAACTGATTGGAAAGTTTTGTTCTGCAATCGAAAGTGGTCGTGTAGGGTAGAAAGCACGTTTTTGAATAGCAGCGCAAGTAGCATTCACGTATACATCAGTTCCATCTTTTACACTTACTACGTACTTCAATTTATCACTTGTGATACAAAATAATTTTGAAAGTAAATTGTAACAAATAATAACAACGATTTCTTCTAATAATAATACTCACGCATACAAATATTAATACAAACTAATTTTTATATTAATAAAATTTAAAATAATTTGAATTGTAAAACTTGGATCAGTAATTAAACAAAAAATACTACCTTTTTCATTTGAAATATTGGGTCAGAATTTCGTTTGATTAATAACTTCTTGCATAATTCATCTTTCAGAGTATAAATCGGTAATAAAGGAGGCTATAATAAAGCATAAATTGATTAATTTGAATAAAAATAACTAAAAATAAATTAATATAAATTAATAAATTTGAGTAAGTTAAAAAAACCTTATACTGCAAAGCTTCAGATAAATCCACCAATACATCTGAGCTATTTGTTTTCACAGATTTATTTCGAAGAATACCTTGAAGTAATTATCCGATTCAGATAATTTTAATTATAATTATTAGAATAATTTTTTTTTACTCAAATGTTCTTTATTTACAACGAGACATAGATGATATTTCACATATTTTTAGTTTTTTCTTGATTTAATATGCAAATATTAGAACAATTTAAAACTATAAATTATAAAAAAGTGTCAAAAATGAATTATCAAAAAATATATATACTAAAAATATTAATGCTAAATAAATTTACTACAAAAATTAAATGGTTTTGGCATAAAGCTTTTATTTGAATATAGTGAAATTTGTAAATAACACGTCTCTAAATATTGATACTTGAATAAAGTAAGCAATATTTGCGTTAAAAAAATTGTGTTCAACGAGAAATAACGAACTTTGTTGGCTGTAAAGCTGAAAGACGTCGAAACTTTCTACGGCCTCACGTAATAGTCCAATCCAAACAATAGTCAATAACATCACAATCAAAGCGAGTGCAAACTCACGTAACATTTCCTTCTACGTTCATTGATGTTCACGTTGATGGAAATATGCCTGACAACACCAGTTCATGAAATATTCATTTTTTTTCGATTTCAAGCCCAAAATGCTAATGACAAAATAATCCATCACAACTTTGCAAAGTAATCAAACAATGCTTTTGCTCTCTTTCAGTTACATATTCCATTATTCAAGGTCAACATGATATTATACAGTTTTATCAGGAAACATATAACCATTTATGGAAGTTCTTTCTGATGATCAAGTTGATTCAGTCATGTAGATCACATAAAACGCCAATAATTTTCATCGTATAACTACGATTTCGCATATTTGTATTTCTATGAACATTTTCAAGATTTTATTCTCTTCTCATCTTCATAAAATCGATAGAACGTTTAGCTTTAGATCGATAATTTAGATCAGATCAATTGGATTTGAAAATTCGTAATTTACATTTTAAGCATTTCTTTTTACTTTTAGTGATGAAAGTGAAATCTTTGAAAATTTTTCTACAAATTTTTTTCATTTTATATTTTTTAGTCGATGAAAGATTACAGTTTCAAAGGTCACGTAAGTTCATGAATACTTTTTAGAATAGATAACACATTTTCACACTTTTTCATCATATGAAAAATAATGCTGCATTGACCGCTTAATGATAGATATAAACTTAATACTAATTAAGTATTAATTTAAAAAAAATGTTGGCTAAACAATGGAATGCTTGTTTG